GTCCACCAAGGGTTCTGTGCAGTTAGAGACCAGAGCATGGTATTCGATTAACGTGCTGATAGGCGAGCTAGGTGAAACTTTGTGGTGCCTGGGTCCGTGGGATACAGCGGGAGGGGACCCTCATGGTGTGGGCTGGAATCTTTGGTGAATCTTCACTTGTCTGTGGAACTGTGGGATTCACTCAGACGTGTAGGGATGATCTTGCCCGTAGATCAAGATGGTGGCCAGATCCATGGGGGGTAAAGGGAACCTTGGGGGCCCGAGTCAGCCGTGAGACCACAGCGTGTGTGGATTCGCCCTGGCTGAGCTGCTATTGCCAGCTGGGAATGGAGCCCTTGCAGGTGGGGGTAGGGGGAGAAAAGGGGTCTTTGACCCTCACAGGCGGGGACAGGCTGACCTGTTTGCTCTCAGACCTTCAGGCCACACCAGGGAGCTGCCCTGGCCAGAGGCCTTCAGTTGTCTGAGGAGGACGAGGGGGAGGCCTAGGAAGGGCTGCAGAGAGAGAAAGGAGAGGGAGGGAAGGGTCCCTCTGAAGGGCAAGAGGACCAAACCCTCACCCTTTTGGGCCTGGGCATCAGGGTGGTTCCCCCTGGGGCTTCAGATCCTCACCCAGGAGTAACCTTGGCGGGAGGTGGTCAGTTCTGCAAGGAGTGCTACAGTCCGGCCACCAGAGAAAGTCCCCAGAACCGGGGGAGTGCCCTGACCCCGTCCTGGCAGAGGTTCCCCGGGAGGACCCCCAGATGTGGGGTGACCATCCAATGGAGGCCCGAGTCGCAGGTGGTGAAAGAATTCACCTGAGACAGGACTAGGAGATAGAAGTTTGTAGAATACACCATGAGGGAGCGGCAGGCAGGATAGCGGAGGAAGGGCTGTCTGCCTAGAAATGTCGTTTTTGTTTTTTAATGTGACTCCATGGTGGTAGTTTTCTTTTTTCTCTTTCTTTCTGCCTTCATTTACAGTCTAGATGCTTCAAGCCAGAGGTCTTGAGGAAGAGAGGGAGGGTTTGAGGTTCAATTTTTAGTGAAAGGTAACGAAAGACATCTAACGAACTGAAGGCACTTGAAAATTCAATAAGAAACAACCACCGGGTCTTGTCCCTCTTTGCCTTTGACTAGAAATGCAGCCTCACAGTGATGGGGAGTCAGGTTCTGTCATCTCAACACTTTAGCTTATGGTACATACCTCCGTCTCAGACCAGTGTTTCTCAGAATTAAAAAAAAGGGCGTGTAGGGTATATACGTATATATTATACCCTGTAGTCAGTGTATACAGCTGTAACTTCTCTCCTAAAATCATGGTTCACATAGTATTGTGGCCACGAGAGTCCTTGATGGCAGCTTGAGAAGTCACTGGGTTTACATGTCGTGGTTGCCGTACCTAAGAACATGACATTAACAAATAGAATATCTGTTGCAGGGGCGCCTGGGTGCCTCAGTTAAGCGTCTGACTCTTGATCTTGTCTCAGGTCATGTTCTCACAGTTCGTGGGTTCAAGCCCCGCATTAGACTGTGTGCTGACAGTGGGGAGCCTGCTCGGGATTCTCTCCCTCCCTCTCTCTGCCCCGCCCCTGCTCACTTGCTCTCTCTCTCAAAATAAATAAACTTAAAAAATTAAAAAAAAATCTGTTGTAAACTCTTGGGAAAGCTTATAGTTCAATTTTACAAGTTTGCAATATACATTGAAATGATTTTTTTTTTTTTTTTTGCCTGTACAGGCTCACATAGTCTATAGTTTGTATTTAACTCTAAGCTTTTTCAGTAGATGCAAATAGTTCTTTTGTAATTTTTTTTAATGTTTAGTTTTGAGAAAGAGCATGAATGGAGGAGGGGCAGAGGGAGGGGGGATACAAAATCCGAAGCAGGCTCCAGGCTCTGAGCTGTCAGCACAGAGCCCAAAACAGGGCTCGAACCCACGAACTGGGAGATCATGACCTGAGCTAAGGTCGGACGCTTAACCAACTGAGCCACCCGGGTGCCCCTGGATGCAAATAGTTCTGAGGAGAGGCTTGAATAGAGGTTTATATGATGTTCTGTTACAAATAGCTGTTCTGTTTATGGAGCTTCTGTACCACAGCGACTTAACTGGTTTTCTGAAGGGAGTGGAGAAAGGGTAATGTCAGAAGGTCAAAGGATTAACATTTCCCCAGAAAGCTTCCGCTAGAAAGTCTAAGATCATGTGGAGGTAGAAATGAAACCAAATACCCTGCAATTTAAGAATTTTCAAAGCGTTCCCGTATACAGTATTCCAGGTTTGTGTTTGTGTGTACGAGGGTTTTAAGCCTTGTGAGGTAACCATAACAGGTATTGTTGTTGCTTGTTTTTTCAATTAAGAGAAGCGAGTCTGGGGAGCAGTTTAAGTAACTTTCCTCTTGTCGCCTGATGGAGTGGAACCATGGCTAGGGCCCAGATATTCTGATAGGCGTTCACGGCACAGTTCACTCTGTTTTCTCAGATACCTCCCCCCTGAGCCTAGAGACCGTACATTTTCAGAGTCTCTCTGCTCAAGTGTCAAGGGGCAGCTGTGGGTATCAAGGTGGTCACACTGGAGTCTGTGTGGCACAGGGATGGCAGAGAGGTCCTTAGGAGCAGAGCCGGTGGACAGGCCTTCGCGTCGTCGATTCACTCGTCCCTTGGTGTGGCCCTCCTTTCTGTGAGCCAGCTTTGCTGCTCCTCTCGAGTTTGGCCTGTGCACTGAAATTCTTCCCCACATTTCCTTGCTCTGGCTCTCCTGTGTTTCCCCTTCTTTTTGTTACAAGAGACCATTTTAGCACAGCAACTCCTAGAGCAAATGATCGTTCACCGTTGTCTCCAACAAGAAAGTAAGAGCTAAAATACAGTACCTATATGCAGTCCACTGCCGGAGGAACTCCTTAGAAGGACCCCTGTTCCCAGATGTCTTTATTCTCCAGTTCATACCAAATCATCTTTTCTTTTCCAATTCATACTGAGCATCTCCCCATGTCTTTAAACACCATTTGAAAACATTTTTCATGATTCCTCAGTATTCCATTGTATGAATTTAGCATAGTTTATAAAGTGGTGATCATTTATAATTGGGTTCAGAATGGGTTCAGTATTACAGCATCAGTATTCTGACCATAGAATTTATTTAATATTAAGCTTTTTAAAATTTTTTTACTTTGTTTTTTTTTTAATGTTTATTTTTGAGAGAGACAGAGCACGAGTAGGGGAGGGGCAGAGAGAGAGGGAGACACAGAATCTGAAGCAGGCTCCAGGCTCTGAGCTGTCAGCACAGAGCCCAACATGGGGCTCGAACTCATGAACCACGAGATCATGACCTGA